GCGGCGGAGGGGCGGGGCGGGGCGGGGGCGGCCTCAAACAAAGGCGTCACGTTGCTAGCGGCCGACGGCGGTCCGCCCTCAAAGTGGCCGGTAATTGAACGCGCACCCGCGGCGGATTAAGGTCTCAAGGGCGCGCACAAAGGCAGCGCTGGAACTGTGCGAGCCGCTTTGCCTCCGGGGCGACTCGGCGAGAAAGGTCCGACGCTCTGTGACAGGTGGCGTCCATTGCCAGGTGTAACGTTTCTCAAGTATGCCGGGGAAATACCAATGAGAAGCTAATTCACTTTCACGTTACCTCCTTCTTTAATAAGTTGACGCCTGGCTGAAGGTACTGAACCCCTTTAACGTGCTGATGATGTCGCAGCTTAATGCATGACCTTTGGATTTAGATTGAATTCCTGCCACTGAATAATATATTTCTAGCATGGCTTACATCCTTTATAACTGCATATTCCTCTTCAACGATCCAATTGCATTAGCAACCAGCACCTTAACATTAAAACTTTCATGAATGTCACCAATCTACGTACGTGAATCGAAAACGCCACCCAAAAGTTCCTCCACGAACACGTTCACGCTTACTGAAACTAGACTCATTAAACCTACACCTCCGCATCTTCCTCCCCATGGCGACAAGTGTACATACTACCTCGTTCACAAAATAACTTGACACAGATTACAACGCTTCAAATACAAAAACGCCGAGGGTTGTTTAAATGAGTCCTGTTTAAAGAAGCTTACTTGAAATCGGCATATTGATTTTATGGGAATTGCCGGAACCAGAACCAAACTTTTACAGCCCAAAGCGATGGCATTTAGTTCCAATCCCGGCACATTTTCCCTTATTTTCACCACGGGGCATGGCGAGGATGTCGCCAATAAGCTAATGTGTGCCAGGTTGCGTCGGAGCGCCTGCCGGATAGGCCTCCCGCCGCACACTGCCGGCCGCGCTCGGCCGCCGGGCCAGACGCTCGTTCGCCGGCGCGAAACGGCAAGGCGGCGTCGTTGGTTGGTGACGGCGCGGGAGGCATCGACGACGCGGAGGAGCCCACGACGCCCCCGCGCATGCGCGCCGCGATTCCCCCCCCCGCTTGTGCTGGCACCCTGAACCTGCGCCCCATCCCGCCACCGCCCGCCCAAACAAACACACGTCACCAAGCCTGTTTCGTCTCTTCTTACGATATTATAAATTTTCCGCAATGATGCTATTAACTCGTGTGGAGCTTATTAAAGAAAAAATAAATAAAAGAAACCTGCAATTAGGGCAAAACGGATTGTAAAAATAACGAACAAGAAAATAATAACGGAAAAAAATTGTATTTGATGTGATTTATTTGTCGAAGAACACTAAGAGCTGTATGCGACGTTTAACGACCATTGGCAAATTGCACACAAAAAAATCTGGCAAACAAAAAACGAATGGATTCATTAGCAGCAAAAGCAAATTATGTATAAAATGCCTGCAGAGAAATAGATAAATAAAAACAAAAGAGCTGCGTTGGGGCTAGTGGGGGGAGGGGGGGGGGCGACTCACGCTCGCGTGTACCGCGAGTCAATATTGACTATGGGCACAGAACAAGTTGTTGCGACAGCTCTCGGCCGCCAGTGTTTGCTCGCGGCACGTCAAGCCGGCCGGCCGTGTCCACACGCGGCAGAGGGGGTCGGGGCGGCGCAAAGGACGCTCCGAGGGAATCTGGAGGGCAGCTGGAAATTAAAGGGTAATAAATACAATTTGTAAATACAGCTTCAATAGTGGAATTACGTGTGAGGTCTCTCCGTTTTTCTTTTAGATAAAACGGCTTTGTATCCTTTCTTTCAGAAAGGACGGAAAGTTCGTTTCCCGTGACATAAGATTTGCGGCACCTCAAAGAAGATCAAGCCTAAATTGGGTCTCTGAACGGCTGAAAACTTTTATAACACCCGTTCGTACTAGATGGCAGAGTGGAAACAGGTCTGTTGCTTCTTGCACGATCACAGTTTCTTCAAAACCAGCATAAAACAACTAAGCACCTGCCATGAAG